ACGTCAGCTGCTTTTTGTTGATCAACACTCTTTTTTAATGACTGTGAAGTAATGATGACTAGTTAACTTACTTGCTAAATGACTAGGCAGCTGGTAAACATAAATAGCTCATTGAACAAACACGCTAAGCACGCACACAGTCCCTTTGATGCTCATGGGCACTACTTAAAATGACCAGCACTGCTTCTTCCTGCCTGCTAAAGTGCTGGAAGCATTTTGGTGGCCTGCGTGTAAATTTAGCTCTCTAGTGGAATGAAGTCTGTATCTGACTTCAGAGTTTGACTCATGCAGTTTTCTCTCTCTCTTTCACACACACACTCACATATACACACACAACACTCTCTCTCCCTCCCTCCCTCCCTCCCTCTCTCTCCCTTCTTCTCCCTCTGTCTCTTCTTTTCTCTTATTTCCAGTCCATTGAGCGCTAGATGATGTGTCCACCCTTCAGTCTAAATTATAGCTGCTCCTGTGTCACTGCAGAGCGTAGGCTTATGTGTATGTGTTTTCAGGACATCTGTGCCGAGACAGACAGTTGTCAGCAGAGTGTGGGTCAGGTAGCAAGGAAGTTTGAATGTTTTTGTGTTTTGAAGTTGACTTGACAAAGCCAACTGACTGTTTTTCATTTTAAACTTATTATTATTCTACACAGAAAACGTTTCTCCTTCTATAGCTTTCAAGATAGAACTACCAAACTTTCTGCGATTTGTTCAAATTCTTTTTTTCCCCTGTAGGAAATGAATGTTTGAATGTTCAGATAATTCAAATCTGCTAGCAAACACATTGGGTACCGTTGCAACCACCTAACAATACCCTAGTGGCCACCTGGAAAACCATAGCAACCACTTACCGACCCCCTTGCAACTATAAGAGAAACTGTAGCAACCACCTAACAGCACTCTAGTAGTCTCCTCCAATGCCATAGCAACCAGTAACTCTACCACAGCAACCACCTGGAATAAACATCCAAGACCATAGCAACAACCTAGCAGTTTATTTTCAGGGTGCACTGATCATTAATTTTTAGAGCTAATTCCAGTTCTCGTTTCTTTATAGCCAAGTTGGCCAGTTGTCAATTATTTTGGGCCAGTGTTTATTCCTCCGAGTTGTATTTCAAAGTATTTCAAAGCAGAGTTGTTTTTTAACAGCATTTAGCTGGTGTGCATGTACTTGGCTGACTCACTATGTCCATCAGTAAATCATAACATAGCTCTACCACAGTAAAAAACTTTACGTTAGAAGTGAATACAAAGCAGCCCTAGTTTTCGTTTATACAGTATTGTGCAAAAGTCAGAGACCACCCTTCATTTATTTCATTTCCAGTCTAAAGGACTATTAAGTACAAATTATTCATTTTTCAGGAGAGATTTATGAGGAGATTAAATCTAAGATAATCCACTTGTGTACGGAAGTGAAAAGTCAAAAAAGCTTCCAAAACCGAAGTTTTATAAAGATACAGAGAAAATGGACTTCTAAACTGTGGAAGACCTGGTTTACCACAAAAACTGTGGTAAACATTGCTTAAAGCTTTCATCTTTGAGAGAGAGGAGAAATCAAGGTACACTCTTGCTTCAGAACTAGAAAAATCCACAGGTGTTTCTGGGTCTGAAAGGATGTGTAGCTGCCAAGAAGCTCTTACTGAGAAAAGGAAGTAGATAAATCAAACAAGTTGCAGGTCTTCTCAGAACAGTGGACTGGCCGCCGCAAAGTCCAGACCTCACTGAATGTGTATAGGGTTACTCGGATTGTGGGAAACAGAAAATGCAAACAAATTCTAAAACTGAATTTTGGAGGTGTGGAAAAATATGCTTGCTGATTTCTGAAAGCAAGTCTCCTGAAAAGAATGGAGGCTATTAAATGATATTATATTTAGTTGTTGAGGCTTCTGCATTTTTTCTGTCAAATATATGTTTTCTGCTTTTTTTTCTGATGCTGAAAAATGAATAACTTATTCTAAATGGCTGTTTTGACTGGAAGTTGTCTCTGATGTTGCACAGTACTGTGTAACAGGGACAATGCACATTAATGCAAAAGTAAATGTACCTATATTAGACTTATAAGCTCACTTTCATCTCTAGTCCTTGAGGCCTTATGTTATTAGCCACAAACAATAAAAATAAAACACAGTTTACACATGGACAAACTAACTGTATAAAAAGGATAAAGCACACAAAATAGAGGTACATAGAAAGTAGCAGTTTATGTACTGGTGAGTGAGCATAGCAGTATACAACACTGCGAAAGGTTACAGGTCATGTTCATACTCTTGAATGGCAATAAGGAATTCCTTTAAAAAGTATGTTTAAGTCTTTAATGTCGAGTGACAAAAGCATCTTTTTCTCATTTATTTTGATATGTAAAGTATGTGAAAGTCTGTTGATTTTCGTTTTGTTTATCACAGACCATTTTGAGCCAACATACAAATAGGATTATACATCACACTATCTTTAATTCTTTTATCCACATTTACGTTCTTACTCTGATTAAACAAATCAGTAACAAATGTTTCCATAATAATGTAATTGCATTATGAATGTGTGCATCTAACAATAAAGGCAGCATGTGTTTCTTTTATACAGTGATGGAACGCATAGAGAACTCCCATTCCACATACTGATTCATTTTACTTTGGACATGCACACATAACAGTAACTCTGGAGTTAAAGGAGACAAACACAAAGACTCAGAATGTGTCACTTACTTTGGGTAAGAGAGGGATAAATAAAATACGCAAGCCTCAGTATCCGTCTAAGCCATTAGGGCTGATATCTGTTCCCAACATTTATCACAGATATAATACAGAATTGTTTTTTAAGGCTAGCCGGTATCAGTATAGAATGTGAGTAATTGAATATTGTCAGAAAGAAACTCATTACGAAGCCTCATTTCAGCTCCTCAGTGTCACTGAGATAAATTAGGAGAGCGGTCGGAGGAACTGCACTGTTTAATTTTTTTCTTCAACGTTGTTTTGGAGTGTCAGTTCCTTGAGGCTCTTCTGGAGGCTGTTCCACCAGCTGAGTTTATTTTAACACTCGCTAAAGCTCTGCCAATATTTTGACAGTAGCAGGAAATGAGAATAAATATAAGAGAACTCTCTCTCTCTCTCTCTCTTTCTCTCTCTCTCTCTCTCTCTATTTCTCTTTCACTGAATCTCTCTCTCTCTTTCTTTCTCTCACACTCACACTCTATCTCTCTCTTTCATTGTTTCTCTTGCTTTCTCTGTCTGTTTCTCGTTCTCTTTCTCACTCTCCCCTCTTTCTTTTTTTTCTTTTTTTCTTACTCTTGCTCTCCTCTTTCTCTCTCACTCTCTTTGTCTTTCTTTCTTTCTTTCTTTCTTTCTCTCTCATTTCTTTTTCACTGACTCTCTGTCTCTCTCGTTCTCTCTCTTGCTTTCTGTCTCTCTCTCACTCCTGTTTCTCTTTTTCTTTCTTTTATATTTATTTCTCTCTCTTGCTCTCTCTATCTCCTTCTCTTTCTTTTTCTCTGCCCTACTCTCTTTCTCTCTTTCTTTCTCTCTCACTCTTTGTCTGTCTTTCTTTCTTTTCTTCTTACTTGCTTGCTTTCTTGCTTTCTCTCTCCCTCTCTCTCTCCCTTGCACGCTCTCTCTTTATTTCTCTTTCACTGCCTCTGTCTTTTTTCTCTCACTCTCACACTCTCTCTCTCTTGTTCTTTCTGTCTGTTTCTCTTTCTCTCTGTCACTCTCCTCTGTTTCTTTCTCTCTCTCTCTCTCTCTCTCTCTCTCTCTCTCTCTCTCTTTCTCTTTCTGTCTCTCTCTCTCTCTCTATCTATCTATGTTCCAGACCTACTTTCTAGAATACTAATGGTGGCGTAAAGCCACACATTTGCAGTCCACACACCGGTGGTCTACAGATCAAAGATGTAGTGCCTCAGACACCAACAAGACACAAACAAACACACAGGCACACACACACACTCTGTCCACCCTCTTTACTCCCTCTGCAGTAAATTCGTGTTGTGATTCTTATTTATTTATCTAGTTGCTGATTTGTCATGCTATGGCCAGTGGAAATGTGCACCCTTGGTGTATGTGCATGCAATAATGTTCACACATACACCTGCCCTGCACTTGGCAATGGTTAACCAAGTTACCACGGTAACAGCCTCCAGTGAGGGTCAAAACATCATTCATTTATTGATTATACATGAACGAAACTGATCTTTTTACCATGTTGGGTGATGTGATATGTTATCAACTGATTAATAACACATTTATTGTACCTAGAATAGATTAAATTGTCATCTTATCATACCTGTACTAAAAACCAACTATTGTCCCTAAATACAGTGGACAATTCAGGACATCCTTATCTGCTGATGCTTCTGGGCGCATCATCTGTGATGTACTAACAGAATCAGCAGATGTACTAACAGAATAAGAGGATTCTGTTAACTTTGTGTTGACTGTTATGTTCTGTACAAACCCACAAAGGTATCTGTAAACAAATGTGTTGTATTTATATACAGTACTCTTAGAGGTGGCTCATACTGCATATTCCGTATTACAAAAAGTCACTCATAAAATGCTTTTATTATTGCTTTCTCTCGTCCTCTACTCTCTCTCTTCATTTATCTCCCTTCAGTCACTTCTCAGAGCGCTTTCTCTGAAACACAATGATTGGTTTACGGGGTTGTCCACTGTACCATAAGCCACTTTTCAGGAAGCTAACCAGAATGGGCTTCTTTTTTTCTCTGTGAAGTGAAAAATGCTCACAACAAAACTGCGAATAGAAGGACTTCCATACAAAAGCATCATATAAGCAGTCTGAAGTACACAGTGGTTTTAATACAGTTTTATTCATAGTAAGTGAGTGAGTGCAAACATTCACTTCATTCATTTATCAGGCTTTTCTAAAGGAAGATTTTCTTCAAAATTGTAAAAAAGGTTTATTTCATAGTTGTATCTTAAAGATGTTAAAACAAACAGATGTACTGGTGTGTAATAGATGTTTAAATGTGTAACAAATTGCTGTTTCATTCAACAGCTGAGGGCTCATGCAGTGGATGTCAATGGAAATCAAATGGAGCCTCCCATCGATTTGTATATCTACGTTATTGACATGAACGACAACAGACCAGAGTTCAAAAACCAGGTCTACAACGGATCGGTTCCGGAAGGATCCAAACCAGGTATGCATCAGGCATGACGATGATAATGTCAATAAGGTTACAATAAAAAATAAGCTGTATTTTTCATAGAAAATGTTTTATTTGTATTATACGGAGATGAACAAGCCAAGCTTTGAAGGAAATGCTCTGCTGGTGTTCATGGTACAGTAAAGTTAGCTTCACTGTTGTTTTTATTTGAGCATTTAGCTTCAAATTGCAAACTTTAAGCTTGTTACACAAGTGGCCCGACATGGCCAACAATGTGGTGTCACTTTGTAGAAAAGTATACATAAAATGGCAAGGCTAGTGATATCAGTGGCTATGTTTACATTACATTGGTTGGATATATTTATTTTTTTGATCAAAGCAGTGAGGAAATGATCATTCAGCCTGTCAGGATCTTGTACTTTTATCTCGTCTAATTGACATATAAATAATTGACGTTAACAATGCAGTTGCATTTTTTGTTCAATGTGCAGTCATATGCAAAAATTTGAACACACCAAATTGCATGTTTTCTCTAAAGTAAACACATCCAAACTACAGCTGGAGCTCAAATACAGTGCTGTGAAAAAGCTTTTGCTTTTTCACTGCATATTTGTCACAATGAATGCTTCACCTTTACATGGGTTGTAACTTCAGGCAAAGAGAGTCTTATCAAACACAACAAACACAAACGACATTTTTTGAATTGTTTTCTTTTATTTAAGGAGCCAATATATCCAGCATGTGAATCACCCTTGTGAAAAAGTAATTGCCCCCTTAAATAACTTGTTTTGTGACCTTTTTGGCAGCAATAACTGCATCCAACATTTCCTGTAATTTAATATCATCCTTTCACATTGTTGTGAAGGCACTTAAGCCTCTCTTTGCAGAACTGCTTTAATTCAGATATATTGGTAGGTTGGAAAGGCCACTGTGAGTTTGCTTTCCTGTTTTGGATTATGTTTCAGACAGAGGAACAGACACTCTCAAATACAGAACAGAAATCGTGGTTCCTTCAGTAATAGCAAGTTTTTAGGACCTAAAGCAGCAGAATATCCTCACACCTTCCCAACATCATCACCATGTTTTAATGTCGGTATTATGTTCCTGTTTTGAAAAGCAGAACTTGCTCTGTAGCAGATATAAAAGAGGCCGGTGTTGTCCAGAAAGTTATGCTTTGAACTGGTTTGTCCATGGAACGTTATCTCAAAGGCATAGGGATTGTCCAGCTGCTTTTTAGCAAATGTGGGACGAGCTTTGAAAGCAAGTTAAACGTTCTGTCATTTTGTGAAGATAGAATGAAAAAACAGACACTATTATTTTCTAACAGAGGAAACTCAGGGGTTGTGTGGCTGAGTCATTAAAGATATGCTTCATATTGCAGTTAAAGCAGGCTATGCTAGCGTGCATGTAAAAGGGACAGTGAATAGACTAGTTTTTTAAACATCTAATATAAAAACTCATGATGACGACAATGATAATGTCTCTGGCAAGATGATGGGAATTGTGGTGATGACAGTAACATCATTAATGATAATGATAATGATGATGATGTCAGTGTCAAAGTCCATTAATTGCCCTCTATCTACTTTGCCCTCTCTGCAGTAAAGCCAAATAGCTCCACAGCAGTGCCTTGAGCTGTACTCCCTGTACTGTCAACCCTGCTCAGTATGATCAAAGTTCAGTGCAGTTTTTCTCCTTTACTTTTTTTTTCCCACATGCTGTGTGGTTCTGCGGTCACAGCGGAGCGGCTATCAGGCGAGGACAGCCGAGCGCTCATCAGCTGTCCGTTCTAAACCAAGTGTTGTGTTGGGTCACGCCTCAGAGAAGTGGGCTCTCAAAAGAAGCATTCAGTCTTTACAGTTTGGAGTGTTTTCTTACAGAAAACTTTGTCCTCCTGGGGATTCATAAACAACAAAAGAGAGCGAGAAAGAAAGAGAGGTTTTGTTTCTCTTCAGTAGAGCGTGGGTCTGCAGCATGCTGACCAACCGCTGCTAATTAGCCTAGAAAAGCACACACACTGCAGCCTGTTTTTTCCCCTCCCAGCACCCTTTCCTGTTGTTTCCTGTTTTTTTTTTTAATCTAAAACATAAATTCTTACTGACAAGTGTTAACTTAAGCCGACTCTGAGCTCTTCCCTGAGATGAAAGTTGCCAGGGAGCTGAAAACGACAGCATGTTCCATGTTCTGTTGATGTTCAATGATTATGAAGTTTTAATCAAACAAGTCGCTCTCTTTTATATACATTTCTTGACATGAGTCTCAAAAGAGTGTTATTATCTGTTAAAGGCATTGAAAAAGAGGCTTACACCCAACAGACAAACCATATCAAAGTCTTTCCGAAGGTGTTGTGGCAGATTTCCCACCTGCTAGTGTGGTACAGGCGACAGTCAAAGAGGAGCATGCTGGGCCTAAGCCTTATCGCTCTCACCACATGTATCTCCACTTATCATTTCAATCTATCAGTGGAATTCAGCTCTAAATGCCACGTTTTGGGTTGTTGTTTTTTTTTTTCTTTTTCTCTAGAAAGGCCCCCATTGGGAGACGCACGTAGGCACATTAATTGAATCTCGTCTTTTGTAGCCCACACATAAGCAATCGTTCCAATTACTGTATACTTAATAACAGCTAATCCAATTTAAGTTCAGTTCACTTCTGGTCATGATTCAGATTTGGCACAAATTAAACTGGGGTTTTTGTGAATCAGCCACTTTTATCTGTGTGCATGTGATACTGGATGATGCTGTACACCCACAAGGCATTAACTGTGCCACAAATGTCTACAGCGTTCTTGTCTTTTTGGCAACCAGGTCCGCTCACACTAAATATGGATTATTTTATGGATACACTCATTGTTGTATGTTTAATTGAACTTTTATATTGTGCAAAGGGTCTTGCCAAGCCATTAAACATATACAAACAAATGACACAGGTAGTGTAAGTAATTAAACAGTAGCACAACCGTTGTCTATGTAGCTTAATGTAATCCCCTGTCTTAGCTCTGCTTCTGTGTGTATCTGACCCTTTTTTCCTACCTCAGTCTCATTCTTCAACCATGTGCTCGTTTTTGTTTTGGTTTTGTGGCCTTCTTCTAATGCCCCTCGCCTCTGTTATGTCTGTAACCCCTCCTTGTAATCATTTGTCTAAGCTGTTTCTTGTTCTGTTAAGTGTATTACCTGCCCCCTTGTTCAGCCTTGTCCTTCGTTGTGCATTGTGTTTGTTTTTGTCCTACTGCGCTGTCTTGGATACTTCTGATTATTTCCGTTTCTGTCTTCTTCCTCCCATTTTGTTGTCAGTGTAAGTCATTTATTTTTCAATTTAGTTCAGTTTACAGTATTAGTTTGTCTAGTCATTTTGGTTCCTGTTACCACTATGGATGTCACCACACCCCACTATTAACCAATTCTTTGACCATTTCAACCCCAACTCTAATAAAAGACACATCCTGCCTCCATGTTTCCTCCATTACTTATGTCCAGTTTTTTTCACTCTGCCATCTCATGCATATACCTTAATGCTGAGTACCCCGGCCAATACTGATATATGCAACTGTAGGGATATTCGTAGGGATGCAACAATACCACTTTTTGTTTCTTATCTTGATAAATGATCCTTATGTCTTGGCTGTTATTGTTAGTATTTACTATTATTTGACTAGTAATAGGACCAATATTGAACAGCTTAAATAAAAATATTTTTATTGTGCAATATAGCAAAAAACATGACTGAACAATATATAGATGAACCTATGGTGTGTACTCATGAGCTCACAGCAGCATCTCTGGCTTAGCAGCAAAAGCAATACTAGATGTTGTTTTAGTCCTGAACTTCATTTGTCTTTTACATTGTCTCAGACTCTGCTGTAGTTCAGTAAATAGTCATTCATGCTGTCTGTAGCACCTGTCTTAAGCAGATTTCTTGGCATGGAGCAACAGGCCGCGAGACTTTGTAATGTAGCTGACCAACAGAGGTGCATCACTGGCTGGGCTAGAGGGCAGTCCCACTAACAGGCTGCTGTGCTAAAGACTAAACCAAGGCAAAAGGCTATAACCCCAAGAGGCTGGCAGTTTCTTTCATATGTCTCTCTAACGTTCGCTAACTAATATTAACTCAGACTCAAACTGACTACACAGAGGGAGATGAATGATTACTGAAAGAAGCCTGACTCAGCCATTGAGGTAAAGGGCTACCGTTTTGTGTTTTGTACTGTATGTATGGTGCATTATCTGGCTTATTCGTGGCATACTACTCATGCTAGTACCTTAGGAAGAATTACATGCATTACAGATTTGTAAGGGTATTACATGCATTACATCATTTTTACTGCTATTTGTAAACCCACACCGTCACCATGTTGTTAAGCTTCATCTACTGGTGCACATGCACGTGTCACTCAGCAACAATAATATTTACATGTATTACATAACATTTAAAGTACACTAAAGAAATGTGTACATATCTGGGTGTCTGAGTACAGCTATGTGAGAATGAACATATAATAATATACAGAAATTATATAAGCAGTGCTATTGTATGTTCTGAGATTTCTGAACATTTTACTGGACCTCCCTGTTCTTTCCGCCGAGTCCTGTTTACTGACTCATGAGTCAGACTCGTCATCTGTTCTCGCATTCTCCTAAATGGCCCTCGACGCAGGGATCCTCTTAGTGCTGGAGTTAAAAAGGCAGGCGGACTGCCTGCGACGAGAGCGGAGCCTCAGAAATTCCAGCTGAGTGCACTCACACACCCAATTTGTCCTCTGGCGAGTGGAGCGGGGGGAAAGTTTGCTAACAGTGTGAGCGGAGGTTTAAGCATTTTTTTTTTCCCCCCAGGGCAGCAGGGCCACGGGGTTCATTAGGCTCTGACGTCTTCTCTCCGGAGAGAAGAAAAACGTAGGGCTGAAGATGGATGAGAAAGAGAGAGAAACAGTGAGAGAGAGTGGGAGAGAGACAAAGACGTTTCAATTGGCTTAATGGACGCGGAGCAAGAGTTGGCCCCGGCTCCTTTGCAAAAAAGCCGATTTGCCTTCTGATGGT